CGGTAAATATCTAATACCTACATCTTATATTGCATCCATCCAAAAGTCATAAATGCCTGTAAACGTTCACAAAAGACTACCTAGGTAAATGGAACCAGATCACAATATATACCACGAGCACAGCTGAACTCCATTCCAAGTAGTCCGCGTCCATGCCTTTTCGACATCTCCTATAGCCCTCGTCAGGCTTATCTGAGCCCCATCTGGACATTTACCAGAGTTTTCCATAACAGTGAAGCGACTTTTCTTGTTGGGCCACTTACCACAGATATTCCAGCCCGGTGATAATGAACGCGATTAAAGACACTTTTTCACGGGCCGACTTTAGAGTGGTGCGCCTTCGTGACAGCTTAGTTATGAGCCCGAGAAAATAGCCCCACTTGTTAGGGTATTATCCGTATTGTTTCCTGGTTTAGAACCGAAACATCTTAGCGAGCTAAGCACATTATGAAGTTTTCTCACGAATCTCGATGAAATGGCTTTTGTGAGAAATCGAGCACCTTTGGAGTTGAGTGATGTTAAGTATTGCTTAGTGGTCATGCAGCTTGACTGAACTCTAGTTTAAAGCTCATCGAAATCTCTATGCTTCACGTTTATATTTTTCTGAAACCTTTTATTATTTTGAATGTTCTAAACTCTTAGGAAGTCTCGATGACGTTAACATGCTATTAGTGATGAGCCCAAGCCCAGGAATCATATAAAAATCATTCTGAATGCAAGGAACGCTCATCGTTCGGAATCATATTTCGACTTAATGTTTCCACATTACTTTCAACACACAAAAATAGCCCAGGCACACATCACATGTAGTGACAGCAAACTTCAAAAGAGCTACCCAGCACAATACACACTAATCCTATTATATATGACAGTTTAATTTCTTGCATATAATCCCTCCATAATACGATCCAGAAGCCGCCGAGTCAAACGGGCCGCCGATAAGACCGGTCGTCGACGGCATGCGTCAGAGACGGCGGCTCATAACATCTGTCAAAGCAGGCTGTCACGGCCGACCGTCAAAGTGGTCCGTCACCCTCCCGGGTTGACAGGTCGTTTGACGGGCGAGGCGGAGCGCGTTCCAGTGATGCGTGGCATCGATAGCGATGGTACAGTGACGATGGGGATGGGGACGCAGAGGCTGGTAGCCTCTTGGCCAATGGAGGGACAGGCGAGCATGGCATAGGAGCAGCCTAGCTTCCTCAGAGGCTAACAGCCGAGCCAGGAAGTCGCCTAGCTTATGCTTCAGCGCCAATTTAGTAGGAAGAAGCTAGGAAGTCTGGTGTGCGTTTTGAAGAGTGACGGATGGGATAAATTAGGCTGCGGCTTGGATTGATTACCGACCACACCTGTCGCTAAAAGAATGTAAAACGTTTGTGGGTATAAATATATGAATAGCAATGCAATGCTAACGATGTGGCTAGACGAAACAAAAGAATTGTTTGCAGTCCACGCAAGTTTCTTCATCAATGTTGTGACATCTCAAAGAACCTCAACTTCCTTTTTCTAGAGGACGGCGACTCACTGGTGTCCGGAACCTTTGGAATTCTAGCCGCTCCCGCGGAACCCCGGGTTAGTTTGTCTCTGAGGCTGTCAGATGGAGCCGTTTTTCGATGGAGAAAAACCCAACAGATCAGTCGTGGTACTGCCGTACGGTCAAAAACAATGCAAACAGAATGACAGCTGCCGAACTGCCGCGAGGCTTTTCGCTTCAGCGCCAACAAAAACAGGCATCCGAATGTAATTGATGATCCAAAACACTTGACCTCCGGTGGGCCGATATTAATGGATCTACTGAATGGTGTGACATATCATCTGTTACCGAAAATCATCATACGATTCACGGGAGATATATCTGAGGAACTATCCTTCTTGAATCCATTTACCTTTCAGAAATTTGTGGCAAATTTGAACAAAAATATGAGAAACGATAGACAATCGGGAGCAGACAACTTCCAGTTTTATTTAAACTTTTTTTGAGCAGATTGTGACAAACTAACTAACTCAGTAAGAAGTTTGTTATCTTCCTTCCGCACCACGGTTTAACAAGCCCGGTATGTGTCACATTTAGTCTAAGCCAATAAAAAGCAATGCAACGCTAAATACCCTTCCGCAGCCAATGTCGCCGGGAATCTACAATCTGAGTCGTAATCCCGTACTCCATGCTTTACGGTCGAGTTCCTCATCGTCCAGGCGCCATCAGGGCCCAAATCTGGGCGACTATAACGGACCAGATCTCAGAGGTTTGCATGAAGTCATCCGTGATTCTGTCCAACATCAATCCGTGGTTCAGCGCTCACACTGCATGCAGAGAGTGGCTATCACAACCGGCAGCATGCAATCTGCACTGTAACACCCCCCCCCCCCAAAAAAAAACAGCGGACGTGACATGGGAGGTTAAGATGGATAATGGAACTTGACGGTGTGGACTTCAAAGCCAACACACAATAAGGTAGGTACCGTTTTCTTCGAAAAGACATGTGTTTGTAACATTTTGTAAGTGGTTAGAGGTTTTCATGTAGCTGCTACATGCATGACACATCCTGCTGATGTTCACGAACCAGAATCGGTTATCCAGCTTCGTACTGCGTTGTTGTATCAGTTTGTTGGTAATTCTTATCGAACATTGACAATTTGAAAATTTGGGAGCGAGAGAGAACCGAACGAACTCAGAGTTGTTGATCAATATTATATAATAATTGTGCAATTCAGCATCAACAATTAATCACGGTAGGTAACTAGGAAAATTGTGTAACAAGCTTGGAAGGAAAATAAGCTCGCATGTATTTCCTTCCCAGGGAAGGGATGCAGACCACAACAAAGTACAGTACCGGATTCATGATAAGGAAAGCTCACAAGTGAATCTGTATTGGGTGATTACAGAGCAAAAATTTACTTCAGGAAGGAATCTTGAAGGTTTGTTTTGAATTTTGAACAGCATTTAAAAGTTAGATGAAACTGTAAGAGGTCAAGACCGCACTGGAATATGATGCAATATTGATTTTTTGACTTTGCACCTTTACAATTAACAAGTGATGACTAGATATAGCTGGATGGATGTGGTCGGAGCCTGCCAAAAGGAAAAAACAACAACCATGTGGAATTACAAAAGTCGTGGTTGTAAACTCAGCATAGCCGGAGACGACATCAATCGTTCTGCGTATTTAAGTAACACAAGTTATGGGATAGGACCTTGTGTAGATGGGCACTTCCATGGCATCCTGCTTCAGTCCACTAAACCGTCCCCCTTAAACAACTGCTCACACCATACATATCCAATACCCAGCCCAGTTCCCACAAGCCATCTCTGATTCACCCCACATCCCCTCGCACCGACCCGGAGATGATTATGCGCCACTATCGCCGCACTGAGACGAACATGGCGCAGCATGATCGTCGCCTGAGACGTACATGGCGCCCCTCAGAGCGGCACGGAGCGTGCCAACAGAACTCAGCTGATAACATCAGGATATGGACATTGCAGGTAGCGCAGCGACAGACTCCGTGTCCAGAGGGGGGGGGGGCGGGGCGGGGGGAGAGATGTCGAAGATCTGTCTCGACACTCTGATCAGAAGCCCGACAAATTGGATTAGCTGCCTTTTTGTGGAGGTAGATACAATGCATTATGCATCTGCTTTTTGCTGGTTTGTTATTGGTAGTCAAGGGTAACTGTGATTATCGGAATGTCTCCATAACAGAAGTTGCTGAACGGCTGCATACAGACACCAAAGCGCTACTGTATACATGCATTTGATGTGTTTGATCGTTTTTTCAAATAATAGCGATATAAATATTTCAAAGCGATATAGTTGATGACAAAATTATAAAATGCCACCATGAACCATGGTATTTTTGGATTTTGTCGTCGTTCTCGCTCGAATAAATAAAAACACACCTACCTAATTCTCCGCATTCGTTACTATTCACGCATGTTGATCATCGTACCCGACAGGGATGAATTTTTTCCCTCAACTGACAGCTCTGGAAGAAACAGCGTGTGCGAATGCTGATGCATGCATCATCACCCAGAAATAGCTCAATAATGGCATAGCTACCGCGAAAACCACCGTTTTCCAATGCAGGGCGCCTGCAGCACCGCATCGGTGGCACGCAGCGTGAGACTTATTTGCATACGTAGTCTGCAGTTATCGACTATTTAGAAACCGGAACGGTCGCCCTAAAGGCATGTCTCCACAGCCACCGGCGCCCATAACATCCAGAGACAGTTTTAGAGCGGTGCTCACACAGCACCATTTGGCGTTGCATGAGCAGTTGGGTTTCACCTATGGGTCCGCACATCTGCTGCATTTGAAGGCAGAGCACTCATAAAATGGTCATGGGTTCTGCAGCGTTTGAGAACAGGGAACGTGCTCAGCTGCCGCAGGCGCAGAGGGTCTGCGAGCACACCCACTGATGGGTGCTAGAACCCTGCAGGAAGCGGAATAATGGCTTCAGTTGAATGCGCACGGGTGGGGAATGGTAATGTTGGAGACGGTTGAAGACAGAAGGGTAAAAGAAGGATGGTATTTCGAAATACGTCCCTTCCTGAATTACGACAATTCTTATAATTGCGGTGAAGTGTTTTTTTTCTTTGAGTGGGTGTAATGAAGTATTTTTTACTATACTTTGTATGTTGTAAAATAGTTTGCATTTTGCTATTTTTCCATCTTATTCTACCATCTAACGTTTAAAGTCTGGGTGTCTGGGTACAGGGCACACTTGGTGCGAAATCGGCATCCGGAAAATCAGGGATAATTTTCCGGGATCAACGGGATCATTCGGTGTTTTAGGCTAACACCGTGCACAACGGACATGCCAATGAGTAAAAGAGCCATTACTGAAGCAAAAGCAATAAAAAACATGACTTATTGCATCGATAGTCCTTGCAATACTAAATTATTACCGGTGATCCCGGATAATTATCCCTCATTTTCCGGATGTCGAACGCACGCTTTGTAAGATATTCTACACGCACACGACCCACTGTCAGAGAGTGTACTCACATGCCACTGTGACCTTGACCGTCGGGCTGGTCTTCCTGCCTCGGCTGCTGACCGCCGTACAATTGCACCTGTACTCCCCAAAGTAGCTCTCCACAGCTCCCCGAGTCACTGCCAGCTTCAGCTCCAGCTGCCTAATGGCAGTCTCCGGGTCCACATAGTCCGCTCTTGAATGCTCATCGTCCGCCATTAGGTAGCCATTGCACCGGAAGAAGAGGTGTAGCGCGTGCGCCGCGCGACAGGTCAAGGTCGCCGGCTTGTTGCGACGCACATATGCGGGGGCGGGGACTTCGAGAAACACGGGATCTGATTGGTCGAGGCTGGGTCCGGTTGGTAGCACGTCTGGTAGAAGAAGATCTGCAAAAGGGAAACAAGTGAAGTTATGTCAGAGGAATTTTGTAAGTACGAATCAGAATGGGCATGATTGGTTATATCAAGTACCTACCTAAGTTTTTCCAGTACTTAATTGTTGCATTGGAATAAATCGTCTACATAAGAAACAAACAAATCTTAAATGTTCATCATGCTACAGATACTCATGATGTATTTATTACTTATGCGACTTGTTGAGTTTAAAAGTAAGGTACAAGAAGTGACTCCTGCGTATGAGTCAGTTTATTCCCTCTACGCAGCAGGCAATATACATTATTCAATTTGCAAGTACAATGACTCTTCAGCGCACACAGAGGAATCCAGCATCCATTTAGAAATGACAGTTCAATTGCAGTGTAGCCTGTCGCACGGCCATCTTGATGTCACCCGCGCACAGTTGCAGGAGACAACCGCCTATTGAGTTAATAGAATTTAAGTAGCGTGCTTATGGAGACTGAGAAAGAATCCCGCCAATCGGGCCAAATTGGTCGGATGTCAACCGTCAGCTGGATAAAGGCTAAAAAAAGACGGAGTAATAATCTCGGAGGGGATCAGGCGGTTTCTTTGGTAGTCCGGAATGACATTTTGTGACATGGTCGTTGCAAAGGATGCAGTCGGAATTTCAAGAAGGTGGTGTGAGGAGGGCATTGGTACTTTACCAAGAGACCGGAAGGGCATAACCAGGGAACTGACGGTTCGAGGTCCAACCCAACTGGTGTCACAGCTTCTAATCCATGCTAACATTGAACGAACTACACGACTAAAGAAACTTGTCTGTCATTTTATTAACTCAGAATTGTTGTTAAAGCACCTATCATTTATTCTCTGGCCATCATCATGGTGCAAATAACAAAGAAAAGACTGAGCCATTGAGTATGCAAATCACGAGATTGCGTATATAAGATATCAATGAGATATCAATAATAAATATCAATTATAATAGATAGATTAAAGGGACCCTCCCACCTTAACATTAGATTTGAGTTGAGATAGCCAAAATGGGGTCCCTGGCTCACAATTACCGGTTTCGGCACTCACAACATCGAGAAATGCCTTAAATCGGAAATATTGAATTTCAAAATTGCAGCATTTTGATTCAGAGGGGCTAATGCATAGGAATACCCCTCTGAATGTGTGACGTCAGCGCAGATATCTAACGATTTTTAAATGTTTGACTAAAACGTTTTGTAGCACGCGGTGGTATATGCTGCGTTGCGCGCAACAAATGCCGCACTTTTAAATAAAGTCGCTAGGAACAGCGGAGATCCCAAAAAGTTAACAAAAGTAAAAGTATAATATCTTGAAAACCGGTGAATATTTTTCGGTGAAATTTGGTAGATATTCGTTTTCGCTCTTTCTGAACCGAGCGACATCACTTTCATGCCAATTCATTAACTTTTTTGAAGGTGGGAGGGTCCCTTTAAGATATCAATTACAAAGGTGTGGGCAGCAATGCCAAACATAGAACACGACACCCCTCGCTTTGCTTTCTGATAATAAAATTATTTTCTCTTTTCTTTTTAATCAGCAACTATCAGTGAATTAAAAAGCTTACTGCTTACCGTCGTCGGTACTGGAGTGTGGAACGGGGTCCAGAAACGGACCGAATCCCGCGGCCAGTCTTGCAGTCCATAGGAACACGAGCAGCACATTTAGTGCTGACATATTGACGAAAACAATCTGAAACAAATGGAGAGTTGCGTCAAGAAAAATTGTGCTAACTATAGGAAGAGAATAAGACACTTAATTTTCTTTTTGTAGTGCACGAATGGAAAAGATGTTTTATGATTTACTGATGTGCGGAAGAAAGACCAAAGCCAGAAGTTTCAAAGTAATGAGCAATAGCCATCACCTAAAGTATCTACCTATCAGGCAGAAATATCTGCATAAAAATTAATATCGTCTGCGATTACACGTGTCCATTGCACTGAGGTTTTACAGAGTGTAATAACTTATACACACTGAGGAGCACTACGTTAGCAGTAGCGCACAGAAGCGACCACCATCCTCAACGCTCAATTTCCCCCTTATATTGGCGACCCAAACTCCGTAGTCGCCGTGCTCGTTTCGTATGACCAGCAGCAGCAAGAGACCAGGATGTGTCACCCGCACGGTGGCACGATCCTCCCGTCTAAATATTTATAAACGCGGCCCGTTACGCCCTTGGCACATTGCCACGCTCTGAGGGAGGCGGCTAGTCAGATATTCAGCAGGGATATGGCCAGGAGGGTCAACAAGCTGACCAACATGATGGCTCTGCATTCCAGCGTGCAGTGAAGCGAGATCAGAGGTTGCGCTTCGGTGGCAGTAAGGGAAATGTGGATGCGGGTGTCATGTGAAATGGACAGGAGATAGGTAGATTGACGCTAATGGTATTGTAAGGCAGATACCACGGGGGGAGGCCACATTATACAACCTCGGTGAGGTCGCAATGTAAACGAGATAAATAGCCTAGAACATTTAGGTGGAGTAGCCGATTAAGCAAGGTGAATGGTGATGAACTCAAATAAAACTATTCTGTGTGCGACAAAGATAACGAATTATCACCGTCGGAGTGTATCAGTGCGCTGATATATGACGCACAATGTAAGGCAATAAAAAATAGTATCTTACACCGAATTTATCCGTGATATGACAGCGATTTACAGTGTGTGCTCGTCTCCCAGAAAAGTCGTTTTTAGATAAAACAAGGCACGAATGGACTGTGCTATTTGGTTCCTTTCGTCACCACATTTCTGCGTGTTTTTTTTTCTCTCTCTCTCCCTCTCCCTCTCTCTCTCTCTCTCTCTCTCTCTCTCTCTCTCTCTCTCTCTCTCTCTCTCTCTCTCTCTCTCTCTCTCTCTCTCAACTACGATGAACCTCAGCTCTGAAAATCTTCAACTCAACCCCCGCCTCCGAAAAACGCTTATCAATCGCGAATCACCCCACTTCACAGCGCCTTATGAGAAATTTCTGCTGACATTGAGTTTCTGAGACGATAAGCGTGTGGTCTCTGTCATTTATAACAGCCAGCCCCCACCACTTGACACGGCTAACCAGTCTCTCGTCACTTCTGTGAGGTCCTCGGGCGTCTGGTTGCTAACGGAACGTCCCGTATCTGTCAGGGTTTGGAGCTGAATAGGCTGGTTAGTGCCAGTGGAAGCCTTCAACTGCGGTTTGACTAGCAGCAGAAAGTGACTGGAAGCTAAAATAAACAGTGAGTCGTGTACGCGTCTTCACGATATAACTATCGCAATTCGAAGAAACCTCAGAGTGGTGGATGAGACATGAAGGTATGCTACGAGTCATTTTATGCATAATAAATCACTCGTGAAAGAGACACATTCAAAATACATAGGCGTGCTTGTATTTATTATTGTACATAATGTATACCGGCACAATAGCTATTCCTGCCATCAAGCAGATATCTCCGCGACTGTCGATCCCTGCGTAAGAAACCCATCCACTACCTCTACCGGAAGTGAGCCGGAAGTGACCGGAAGTGGGCCGGAAGTGTCGTCCGGGGCGGCGTCGGTGGCCTGATATCTGCCCGGTCCGTCCACGGAAGGATAACTGGAGCGCATCGAAAGGAAATGGGCTCTCTGTCCAGAGTCCATCAGCCATCGGGTACGGCACTAGTCCATCAGTGCCTCTCTCTCTCTCTCCTCTCTCTCTCTCTCTCTCTCTCTCTCTCTCTCTTCTCTCTCTCTCCTCTCTCTCTCTCTCTCTCTCG